AAACCGAATGAGTCTTACATCTGGGCAACCTAACTCTGGTCAGAAAAGGGACCTGAGAGAAGGGATTTAGGAACCACGAAGCCAATATGACCTGCTCGGTCACCGGCACTACTGTCAAACACCAGCTGTCTGAGACCCCTCCCAAATACCGTCTAAAGTAAACTCGAGAACCAAGACCTTTTCTAGGCCGATAGCTGACGAGGGGCTGGGGGCCCAAAGCAAGCAGAGCAGCCAACTCAACCAAAGACCGGGGGTCTGAGGTAATGCAGGGCAATGTGAAGGCCGCCGCTGCCCTCCCTTAGACGTGGTGCCCACACGCTGCTGGGGGTAGGGGGGTTGGACGTGAAGAATTAAAGCGGCAATCGGCAGCAGAAAAAGTCGAGGCATACCTATAGGTTTTTTGTAAAAGTCCCAAAGTCAAGAAGTAGGATCGGAATCAAGCGGGGAAGCCTTACCTCAGCGTTCGGGTGTTTAAAAGTATCTAAAAATAGCAGCTCCATCCCCGAGTCCACCGCCATGTTTGCCGCGGGAGGGAGACAGGGAGAGGACTTCCGGGGCAGCCCTCCAACCTCGGCGACAGTGGTTCAGGACAGGGAGAGACTGCAGCACTTCCGGTGACCGAAGCGCTAGCGCCGCCAGCCTTGGCCTATCCCGAAGCGCGGTACTGGCTGAAGATGCCGGCCAGCGCGGCGCCGGGCGCCCTCGGAGCACGGAGGCAGCGGCGGGAGAAGAGGGGCTTACGGCGGCTCCAGCGGTCCAAACCCTGTGTTTCTACTGCGTTACAAAGCCACGATGGCCTTGGGGTGGCGGAGTGCAGAGCAGTCTTTCGAGAAGTGGAGGAGGGGTGGGAAAGGCTGCTACTCTGGATACCCAGTGAAAGCGCTCGCAAGCCGTCGTTCCTGGGCTGGCCGGAAAAAGATGCAATGAGAGAACTGGAAAAGTTAGACACTTTTTTAAAAGGAAGAAAAGAAACGGCGCAAGACGAGATTTTTTTCTTGTTTTCTCACCTGAAAAATGTGAAGAATAATACCTAACCCACAGGCTTTTTGTGAGGATTAATTGAAATAAAATACAAGAAACTCTATAATGTGAAATGCCATCAACATAAAAATGCAGAGTGGAAAGTAAGTCTCCCTGTCTCCCTGCTGATGAGCATTGCAGCAACTGGAACTATTTGGTAGTCTATATTGGCACGAGGACTTGGGAGAGCAATTAGGAATTATCTAGTGAAATTACACGCGCCTACCTCACTTCTAGGAAAATTGTTGCTCAGATGCCCAAAGAAATACGTACAGATACAAGAATGCTTATGGCAACACTTTATAGTTGCAGAAAAGCTGTAAACTTCTCATTAACAAGAATAAGTAAACCGCGACATATTTATGCAATGTAGTAGTATATAACAAAGAATGAACTAGTACCATAGCTACTAACAATCTAAACGGGTAAGCAAGCAAGTTGAAAAATATGTAGTATAAAATAACATAGTTCAAAGCATGTACAAAAATATAACTTGGGGGCACATATATGTTATAAAATTACAAAGATGCATAGAGATGATAAACACTAAAATTTTAAGATCGTTGTGAACTGGAGAGAATTGTAATTGAGAAGTATACAGGGCCTTCAAGTGCTTTGGTAATATTTAGGTTGGTGGTGGTTTCACAGGTGTGCCTTGCATTATTGTTTGTGCCTTTTGGTATTTATTTAATAATTAATTTTTAATTTTTTAAAGTAAATCTCCCATCCACTCCCTTCCTCAGCCAGCCAATTTCCTCTATTAACTAACAGTTTATCTCTTTTACGGTGTTTTTTCAAAGACCAAGTTCTGGCATTCTTATTTATTATTTCCAGCATTTTTTTAGTTTCTTTAGTTTCTTTAGTTTTCTTTATATTTTTTAGTTTCTGCTTTGGAATTTACTGATTCCTTCTGCTTTCATTAGGCTTGTATGCCTGCTATTCTCTTTCTAATTCCTATAGTGATGCATAAGTTATTTATATTCATATATCTTATTTATTACTATATATGTTTATGTCTACCAACTTTCCCCTCACCTCTGTAACTAATGTACCTTGTAGTGCTTTTATTATTGGTGGTTTTTATATGGCTTGATTTTCTTAGCTTTGAATTTCTTTTTTGACCCAAGAAAGTGTGCGTTGTTTTTCTTCAATTAATAGAGTGTTTTTTGGGGCATTTTTAGTTTTACAGGAAATTGAGCAGATAATAGAGTTCCCATATATTTCCTTTTTTTCCTTTTCAAAGATTCCCCTATTATTAATATTTTGCATTAGTGTGGTACATTTATTACAACTGAGGAACCAGTACTGATACATTATTATTAACTAAAGTCCATAGCTTACATTTTGATGCACTTTTGTTTTGTATATATATATATTGTATGTATATTTGAATTCATAGACTGTCTCTGAAAGAATTATGCAAGAAACTGAGAATAGTTGTAGCCTCCAGGGAGGGGAGCTTAATGACAAAGGTATAGAAATAACAGGAAATCTATTTCCATATACAGATATTATCTATTATAAAATTAAATTTTTAAAGATTAATAAGAATTGAGTAGTAGAGAAAAGCTTGTATACAAAACTCCTTCAAAAACTTTCTTGCATAGAACAGAGAAATGAAGTAGTTGTTGAAAGAGAACATAAAAAAGAGTGTTTTTAAGATGAGGGATATCAGTGTGTAGATGGGTGGGAATGAAACAATAGAAACAGTGATGATAAAGAGAGAGAGAGGAATATCGAGACAGCAAAGTATTGTGGAGGTGGGAGAGGTACCCAAGTAGAAAAAGACCTTTGCTAGAAAGAACACCTGCTTCCTGGTAATCAGGGACAAGAGGGAGTCCATGGGTGCACGTGCAGATGGGAGTAATGATTTCGTATGTGGAAATGAAGGAGTTTCTTTTGGATGGTATCTATTGTCTCATTGAGATCGTCAGCTATGATTGAGAGGGCAGAAAGATGTGTAGGAGGTCAAAGAAGAGAGACGGTATTAACTAGATTTCCAGGAGAGTTCAGAATCCCTGATTGGCTACCATCACCTCTCACAGTATGCAGGACCTCAAATTCACTTCTTGCTCACTCTTGCACCTTGTCCCTACCACACCACTCTGATGATTCAGCCATTCTCAGCTAGATATGGCTCCCATAATACAGAGGTATTTCACATCGCTTACATGGTTTCTTCTGCTTTGAATATAACCCCTCCATATGATTTTCAAAAGCCTATGTATAATTATAATATCATCTAAAAGAATAAAATAGCTAAGGAATAACATTACCTAAGGAGATGAAAAGCTTATACAGTGAAAACTACAAAATATTGCTGAAAAAGTTAAAGACAACTAAATGGAAAGACATTCCGTGTTTATAGATTGGAAGACTTAATATTGTTAACAGTATTACCCAAAGTTATCTATAGATTCAGTGCAATCCCTATCAAAATTCTAACAGCCCTTTTTTTTTTTCTTCAGAAATGGAAAATCTGATCCACACATTTATATGGATTTGTGAGGAGCCCCAAACAGCCAAAACAATGTTGAAAAATGACGAATATGGAGGACACACACTCCTGATTTCAAAACTTACTATAAAACTACAGTAATCAAAACTGTGGTAATGGCATAAGGATAATGTAGGGAGGAGGCCAGAGAATTAAAATATTAAATCAAGCCACATTCAGAGACTGCAATATGCTGATCAGCTCTGCAGCCAGGCCTGGAGGACACCTGCAGAACAAAGGAAGATTTCTGCTGGGATTGTTAATGACCCATTTCCCACACCTGTGAAGGGGAAAAAGGAAAAACAGTCTTTAAGTGGCTGCCCTATGCAAAATAAAATCATTCATTCCCAATGGCTAAAACCATGGGGAACCTATGGATTAAAGGCTTAGAACTGCCAGCAGGCCTTTCATGCTACACTTTCTTTCCTTTTCACGCTACATACTCTTCCCCTTCCCCTTCCTCACTGTATGTCATATCAAAGGAAATGGGTAAACAAAGTCTTTAAACTGTAACTCATAAGAACTAGGGAATGATATATAAACTGAATTCCCCACACTCTGGGGTCCCTCTCACTGCCTTTACTCTCAATGTCTTTCTCTCAGAACCTCTCAGTCTTTTTCTCCTAGTTGCTTTCACTGTCTTCCTCTTGGTACTCTACTTTGTCTCTCTCACTGTCCTCATCTCTCTTAGGCCCTCTCACTCTGCCTCTGAGAGGAGACGACTCTTTGTCTATGCAGCGTTACCCTTGTTCTAGTAAACTTTCCTTTTGACTCTAACTTTGGCATGTATGTTAAATTCTTTCTACACTTTCTGCCAAAGGACCCTCTTCTTCTCTCAGTACAGGGCTTGCTATCCCCACATTTGGGGAAATTTGCCCTGTCTTGCATCAAGGATAAACAGAGCCCCAATCGAATAGAATCAAGAGTCCAGAAATAAACCTTTACATATATAGTGAATTGATTTTCAACAATGGTGCCAAGGGCATTCAATGGAGAAAGAATAATCTCTTCAATAAATGGTCCTGGGATGACTGGGTATCTACTTGCAAAAGAATGAAACTGGAACCTAACCTCAGACCATATACAAAAATGAACACGAGATGGATTGAGGACCTAAAAAGAAGAGCTAAAACCATGAAATTCTTGGAAGAAAACATTACATACTGATAACTCTTCATTGCCTGGAATTTAGCAATGGATTCTTAGATGACAAAAAAACATGAGCAACAAAAGAAAAAATAAATTGAACATCAAAATTAAAAACTTTTTTGCATCGAATGACACTCTCAAAAGAGTAAAAACAAAATCTACAGGATGGGAGAAAATACTTAATTAAATTTAATTAATTAATTAAATCCGTAATATATAAAGAACTCTTACCACTCAACAAAAAGATAAACCGCCCTATTAAAAAATGAGCAAAGGGACTTGAATAGACATTTCTCCAAAGAAGATGTACAAATGGCCAATAGGCACATGAAAAGATGCTCAACATCTTTAGTCATTAGGAAAAAATAAATCAAAACCACAATGAAATACTTCACACCCATTAGGATAGCTATAATTTTAAAAAATAAGGGTTGGTGAGGATGTAGAGAATTGGAACCCTTGTATTTTGCTAGTGGGAATTTAAACTGGTACAGCTGCTGTGGAAAAGTTTGGCAGCTCCTCAAAAAGTTAAACAGAGAATTACCATATGACCCAGCAATTCCACTGCTAGATATATACCAAAACAATTGAAAACAGGTTCTCAAATACTTGTACACACATGTTCATAGCAGCACTACTCACAATGGCCAAAAGGTGAAAACAACACAAATACCCATCAACAACTAAATGGATAAACAAAATGGTATGTACATACTCCCTGCTCCCTATTTGCTCCCCCATCCCTCAATAGATTTGATATTCTCTCATTTGTGACTCCGGTATATCCACAGATTAAGCTCTAGTTCCCAAACAGTTTATTCCCTTATTTATTTACAGGTCAGTATTCTTCTTCTAACCTGTGAGCTTCTTCCAACAGAATGATTATATCCTATTCACCAATACTTCCCTACTTTCTGGCACACGCTAAACACTCAAAAATGTTTCTTGAATGAATTGATTTTCACTATTTCAAATTACATATAGAATTATATATTGTGCATGTTTTATATATCAAATGCTTAGATTGTACTATCCTTATTCTTTCATTCTTGTCTTGCTCATCAGATTATAACCTCCCCTAGAACAAGGCTCTGTGAACAGTCCATAGTAGCTTCTGTTGTTTTACAAACTAACGTGTCTTCCCTTCTTTGATTTTCACCATTCTGCAGTAAAAAGATCACTTTGAAGAAAAACTGAAATTGCCTCTAATGTGAAAAAGCAACTTACGCAAATCTTAATGCTTGCCAGGAACAACTTAGCAAAAAGGCAAGGATGGAAGTGAGCTAACCAGCCCACAACAACTCAATGTTGCATTTATTTGGTAACAGGTGAGCTCTTTTCTAAGGTGACTGACATGCACAGAAGAAAACAGAGCAGGAGTGGGATCTAAGTGAACTGCCAAGCATTTCAGCCTCTTCAGAGAACAAGTTCATCAAGAACAACTGATTTGAGAGTCTGGCAAACTGCCAACTGCAACACATTCATCCACCAACAAGAACAAAAAGGACTTTTGCTTTCCTTCTTCTCTGAGCATACTGATAAAAAGTAACAGCTGCCACCCCTTCTCCAAGATACTTGATTATGATCATTTCCCACAGCCAAGAGCTTGCTCTGAAACTTCCACATCATTCTTCAGAATGTATTCTGGAGATTACCTAAAGATTTCAGATATATTGATTGTAAACTGTTATCTACACAAAGTATCTCAAAATAAGCCCACCGATTAGTGCCAGTTGTTCTGAAAGATTGAATGACTCCAGCTATTTACCAACTTTTTTCCAGCCTCAAAAAGGCAAAACACTCTGAGATCCTGTCTATTTTCTAGACAGGCAAACAGCCAAACTCTCTGGTTCAGTTCCACTCTCAGGTACAGAGCCAGCACTATATAGACCATAAACTTACATATGGCACTTTTCCTTTTTTGTAATTGTGCTGCTGTATTTAGCAGACCCCACATCTCTCAAAGCATGTTTCCACAAGAACACAAAGGTTTCAGTAATCAAAAATAATTTAGGAAATCCTGTATACCCTTGTCTCCCTCTTAGAGCTTCACCATGTATATTATATATATTATATATTTCTATATATTATCTATATGTATAGAAAAGAGACTTCCATTTTTTGAACTTAACTACTAGCAGTTGCAGCTTAATCTAAATTTGCTCTTAACAACTTCAGATATTCCTATACCCTTAAGGGCTACTGACATCAGCCTTACAGCACTTTTAGCACTTTTAAATAAAAGACTAAGTACAAAAGCTAGGTGGATTTAAAGATGCCTGGTAGAATGGATTGAGTTGGCTTAAAAACTTGCTTTTATATAAGAACTTTATGTTGGTTGATGAGAAAATATTAATTAGGTTCTCTCTCTCTGGATCCACTTTTACTCCTGCATCAGAGATTCTACGCCTATGTAAATCTTCCTCAGAGTATATGTGGCAGTAACCTGGTCTCCCAGTTCCAGCTAATTTGACCAAGGATAGTCACCGGGCACAAGTGGGTTGTGTGGAGTCACCAATAGGCAGCAACCTCTGACTTACGTGGCCTGACTCAAAAAGATGAGAGACCCACGTAAAATTACCAGCTGGAAATAGGACAGAAGGATGAAGATTCATGATGCAGAGCCAAGTCAAATTACGTAAAGACAAAGGACTAGACTGGAATGAATGTTGATGAATACTTATGCTGAGGTCCTAGAGCTGCCTTGAGTCCAGAGAGAGATTCACTGAGGTGGGCCATGTCGCTGCTCTTGTTTGAGATCAATGTTTCTTAATGTGATCGATCCCCTTGTATTTAATTAAATAGCTTGAGTGTGTCTCTATTTCCTGCAATCAAACAATTCTAAATAAAACAACTGCTTACAAAGTTTTTCAGAGCTCAACAGGACATATGCTACAAAATGAAATATGGTAATGATTTTAAATGTATTAACAATAAGATTGTAGAAATAAAATACAAACATTAGAAAGATGATTGATAATTTAAGACTAAACTGTGGGATACAGTATAAAGAGATCAGATCACTGTACTTCATGAGAAAAAACATGAATTTTTGAGACCCGGGATTCAGGGTTTTGACAGGAAAGAGATGGCACATCTAAAAGGTTTAATTCAAGAACGTTTAACGATAAATTTTTTAAAAATGTTTAATAAAACTTTTGAGGTAATGAATATGATCATTATATTGATTGTGGTGGTAGTTTTATAGTGTATATTGTGAAAACTCAACAAATGGTACACTTTATTAAATAGATAGTTTCCTGAATGTCAGCTATGCCTCAATAAAGCTAAAAAAAATGTTAACGAAAGAACTACTTACAGAGTGTGAGCAGAGTCAAGGGTAAAGCATCTATCTATAGGCAAGCAATTCCGAGAAGCCATTACCACCCTAGGCCTGAAGGAGCACAGGGAGATTTCACAGAAAGTCATCAGAGCTGGGGGCATAAACATGGGGCCAGCAGTTTACAAACTATTTGTTGTCATCCACTAGAGATAAGTTGAGAAACTGAGAGTGAGTGTTTAGAAACTTCTTTAGTAATTTAACAGATTAATGTTATATTTGTTGACTCAAATAATATAAAACCTGAAAATTATATTTTGTATGTCTTTGAGTTTTTTCACTTTTCTAGTAATTATTTTTGTTTTTGTGTGTGTGTGTGTGTGTTGATCAGTGGTGGGGTGGTAATTAAAAAAAAAAAAAGAATATTCACCACTGATAGTTTGAGAAACACTGGTATAGAGGAATTCAACCTCTAATAAAACTTCAGCTCCACAGGGAGAGAGCTGAGAAAAGCATATCTCAGTCTCTCTTCCCATACTTCTCTCCCTTGGGCCAAACTGGATAAAAGCTAGAGGACCGAGTAGTTCAGGTGATGTAGTAGGGCAGAAATGGGTGGTAAATGGATCTGGAGGAGCAACCAAATGAGATGTACTCTGGACTATGACATTCATTAGCTTTGTGGTTTCTGGAAAGTTACTTGGTCTCAGTGATCCTCAGTTTTCCTCACCCCATAAAACGGGGAACCTCAGACCACCACCCACTTATTCTACCACTCCCTATTCACTTGCTTAAGCCAGAGACTTGGCAGTCATTTTTCTATTCTCTTCACTCCCATCCCATCCAATCAAACCTAACCATCTCACCTCTATAATGACATTCACACGTGGCTCCTCCTATCCATCTCCATTGCCCTCCCTTAACTGAGTTCTTCAGCATTTGTCCACTGTACTGCAACAGCCTCCCTCCTGACTGGTCTTGCTCTGCTCCAATCTATCCTCCAGAGTGACAAATACAGATTTGACCAACTCATTCTCTAGCTTAAATAAAGATTTTAAGAGACAACATTTAGAAACTACTTAAGGTTTTAGAAGCATTGAGTGTTTTGGTTAGTTTTGATTTTGGTTCTCCAATTATAAATGCTTTCTTATATTTCATGCTTCCAATCCTGCTCTTTTCCTGTTTGAAATGCCCTTGTCCCTTCTTTGCCAGCTAACTCTCCATTCACCTTTCAGACCTCAATACAAGCAAGGGGTTGCTTTATGCTCTTACCATGTTATTTTATTACATCACTTATTCCTGCAATGTAATTAGCTTTCCCTTTAGGAAGTGTAAATCCTTTGAAGGAAGGAACTATACCATCTTCATGGTTGTATTTTCTTGCTTAATGGTACCTGGACACAATAAGTGCGCTCTTCATATAATTTGTTGAATGAGTGAATAAATGAGATTTGGGATGGTTGGTTGAGACTTCATGATAATGAAATTTGAATTAAATTGTTTCCAAAGGATAGATAAGAATAAGATGGCCAGAGAGGAGGGGAGCAAGTTCCCTATTGGTATAACAATTTGAGCCAAGGCAGATTGACCAGTTTGATCAGTGAGTAGAATTTGAATGTAAGAGCTAAAGATAAGATGAGTGAGGTCCATTGAGGTTCTACAGAGAACAGCGTTGAATTCCATGTTGGAATTGGTCTTGTAAGCTGAGAGGGAACTGAGAAACTGAAATTGAGCATTGGCCTTTTTGAAAGAAGTTATGTAATTACAGAAAAGATGCGTTAAGGAAACTATCTTTCCTGTGGTGTTTACAATTAATTGAAGCAAAAAGGTCATTAAGAATGTTATTTTAAAAATTTACGTGAGGAAATTTAGATTGCTGGAAGTGGATATGGAAAGAAAAGAATGAGAAGAGACATTAAAAAGAAAATGTGTTAAAACAATGGTTTCTAATAACTAGCATAAGTGCATAAAACTTAATATTTACTAATTATGATACTCTAAAATTCTAATTGGTACCAATGACAGAAATAAATAGGGGGACACGATGGTAAGGTAATAAACAAATCTGTTTTTAATAAAGTTTATTATTATTTAAATTTAAAAAGCTAGGTTGAAAAGTAAAATCTCATTTTACATTTTGGACTCCAAGGCCCAGTTGTAATATCTACTGCCATCTACTGGCAGAGGGAAAATGACTATAGTCATTCATATATATATATATAATGTTTAAAAATAGCTTTATTGAGATATGATTCACATACTATACAATTCATCCATTTAAAGCTTGGAATTAAATGGTTTTTAGTGTGTTCACAAGTTGTACAACCATCACCACAGTAAATTTTAGAACATTTTCATCATTCCCCCCTAAAATTCTTTTCCATTAGCATTCACTCTCTATTCCCCACCCACCCACCTCTGTATCTCTAGGGAACCACTAATCTACTTATGTCTTTACATAAATTTGCTTATTCTTGACATTTCATATAATTGGAATCATACAATATGTGGTCTTTCTTGCTGGCTTCTTAGCATAATGTTTACAATGTTGCAGCATGTATCCATGTTCCCACATATATCAGTGTTTTCCTTTTTATTGCCAGAAATATTCCTTTGTATGGAAGGAATATGTATTTTTACAAAGCGCATGGATAACATTTCCCACTAGTTTACATACATAGAACATACTTTGAAATGTTAACTTGCGTTTCTAATACGATGAAGAGCATTATCTACAGTTGTTTCTTTCTTGCACTTCAGTAATAGTGCACCCAGAGCTCTCTCTTGACTCTTAAAACTGGAGGGTTGCTTTTTATTAGTGGTGGAAAAAACATTTTAGTGGATGAAGAGCAGGGACTTGTTTTTTAAATATTAGAATGGAGAGTGACAGAATCTATTACACATAATAAAGGTATTTTATGAAATTTAGGGAGCATATGTGTGTGACTGTGTGTGTGTATCTTCACCGAGTCTGGATGTGAAATATATTTCTTACTATGGGTTATTTGTTTGTTTTTCTGGATTTATTGAAATAGACAATTAGTTGCTTGCATTTACATTGTACAATTCAATGAGGTTTTTTTTTTCAGTTATAATTGGCATACAATAATATACCAGTTTCAGTTGTACCGCATAGTGATTAGAGATCCACATAACTCACAAAGTGATCACCCCACTAAATCTAGTACCCTTCTTCCCCCTTACATATTTATTACATTATTAATGATCTTCTTCATGCTACACCCTACATCTCCATGTCTATTCTGCAACTATCCATTTGTACCTCTTATTCCTTTTGCCTTTTTTCACCGTCCTCCCAAATCCTCTATCTAGTAGCCCTCAAAATATTCTCTGAATCTATTAATTTATTTCTGCTTTTGCTGTTCTTGTTGTTTATTGTGTTCTTTAGATTTCACATGTATGTGAAATTATGCGATATTTGTCTTTCTCTATCCAACTCATTTCATTCAGTGCAATACCCTCTAGGAACATCAAGGCAATATCTTTTCCCATTCCCTTCCTTTCAGTCTGTGTGTGTCTTGTAATCTGAAGTGAGTCTCTTGTAGGCAGCATATGTAGGGGTCTTGTTTTCTTATTCATTCAGCCACTCTATCTTTTGGTTGGAACACTTAATTCTTTTCCATTTGAGATACTTGTTGATAGGAATGTAGTTATTACCATTCTTTATTCATGTTTTTAAAACATGTTTTTTCTTCTTAAAGAAATCCCTCCAACATTTCCTGTGATACTGGCTTGGTGTTGATGAATTCCTTTAGCTTATTTTTGTCTAGGAAGCTCTTTATCTGTCCTTTGACTCTAAGTGATAGCTTTTGTTGTAGATCTTGGGTTTTCATCATGTCGAATACTTTGTGCCAAGCCCTTCTGTCCTGCATAGTTTCTTTTGAGAAATCAGCTGCCAGTCTTACGGGTGCTCCCTTGTAGGTAACTAAGTGCTTTTCTCTTGCTGCTTTTAAGATTCTCTCTTTGTATTTAACCTTTGGCATTTTAATTATGATGTGTCTTGGTGTGGGCCTCTTTGGGTTCCTGGTTTTTGGGACTCTCTGAGCTTCCTGGGGTTGCATGTCTATTTCTTTCACCAGGTTAGGGAAGTTTTCCATCATTATTTCTTCAAAAGCTCTTCAACATCTTGTTTTTCTTCAGGTACCCCATGACATGGATATTTCAACATTTAATAGTGTCTCATAGTTTCCTTAAATTATTTTTATAGTCTTGGCTTCTTTTTTCTTGCCGTTCTGATTGAGTGTCCTCGGCTTCCCCATTCTCTATATCAGTGGTTCAATCCTCTTCTTCATCCACTCAGTTTATTCCATCTAATATACTCTTCATCTTAGATATTGTGTTCTTCATTTCTGACTAGTTCCTTTTTATAATTTCCATTTCCATTTTTGTTTTTCATCTCTTTGTTAAAGTTCTCACTGAGTTCATCTACACTTCCCCTAAGTTCATTGAGCATCTTTATAACCAGCGTTTTGAACTCTACATTTGTTAGATTGCTTGACTCCATTATTCCTGGATTTCTGTTCTGTTCTCTCATATGGTTTCTGCTTCTTTGTCTTCCCATTTGGGCTGCCTTTCTGTGTCTGTTTATATGTGCTAAGGAAAGCTCCTAAGTCTCCCAGTCTTATTAGTGTGGATTTGTGTAGTAGATGTCCAGTAGCATAGTCCTGAGAGGGGTTCAGCTGCAGGCCAAATTTAGCCCAAGCCTGTGCCCCTTCGGGGCCACCTGTTAAGATTCAGCAAGCTGTGCTTATAGTTGCCTCAAGAAACCACATCAGAAACTGAGGCCAGCTGCCACCAGTGTGAGTCTTGGCACTGCTCAGCAAGGAGCACCTGACTAAGCAAGGACACACCTGGATGTGGCTTGGGTGGGGCCACAGTTGGGGGATGCGAAGTTTCAGGGAATCTTCTCGATGGAGCAATCTCTGTTTTCCAATTCAATGATATCACAGCTATGGCAGTGCTGCATCTGCACACTGGGATGGAGGAGGGCTCAACAGAGGAACAATGAATACTGCCAGCACTTCTGCTGGGGAGAAAGCCTCATCTCTGGCCCTCACTCTAACAACTCAGTGACTCCCCTGTAAATCCCTGGTGCCCCTGTGCAGCCTACCTGGCGCTGGTGCTCATAGCCAGCAGATTCGTCACCGCAAAAGTTAGCTGGGGACAATCCCCTTTAAGAGGCGTGTGCGGCTGCGGGCTGCCGCTGCTGCAGGCTGCCGCTGCTGCAGGCTGCCGCTGCTGCAGGCTCTGTCCCACTCAGCTACTGGGGACTTGGCAGCCTCCGTCTTTGCCGCC